ACAACATCCAAAAGGAGTCCACCCTCCACTTGGTCCTGCGCTTGCGTTGAGGTAGAATGACCTTTTGCTAGTGCTTCAGTGTTTGCCATGCAAGATTGATTGCAGGTTAGACTGTTGTTTGGTCTCAAGTTGTTGAACTGTTGGCTGCTTGAGAGCTTGATTCGTGTTATGAATATTTCAACATATTTCAAGTCATTTCAACTCCCAGTTCTGACGTCTTTCTTGCGTCCCACTGAAGCCAAGAGGGTAGAACGTTTAAAGGTAATCTTCGAACTTACACACTGTTTACTTAGTTTACTTGTTCTAACCGAGGTGTTGGACAAAGGATTGAGGCATCAGGTTTCGTGTTAGTCATCAGTTCTTTTTGTGGACAACACATTTATTACATATTTGTATAGTGGTTACATGAAAAACAATCAATTTGCCGTGAGTTCGAACCCATATTCACGCAGTCTGCTTTGGTGCTCTGAGCATATCTGCTCACGAAGATGTGGATAGCAATTTCAGAGGCTGAGGCATTGTATAGACTTGACTGTGAGTCCTCCTCGACTATTCTGATCTCAGGTTGGTTGAGTTGAGCAAAAAGATCTTGTGAACATCACTGAAAGTGAAGAGCAGCTCTTGGAAATGGTTGGGGGTCTTCTTTGCTTTGGGCGTGTAGACGAATCAGTTCGACCCTTCAGGCAGAACAACCCATATGGCCCGACTCCGGTCGGTCGGTCGTTTCCGGTCGGTCCGTCGGTCTGTCGGTGCCATGACCCACACAGCCATGTGTCAAATTGGAGTTAGGATGACCAGGTTGGGTATGATGACCACTGAGATTTAACATGTCAGAGATGGGGGGGCCAACAAAAACTATGCCATGGGCCATACCGATTCCCCAGCCGCGAGGCACCTGAAAGACGCTGGGGCAAGGCCTTCTCGCTTCGCTTCGTCTCAAGGGCCAGGTGTTGGCTTAAGGATTCTGACTAGTAGACCAGCAGACCCCGCTCATTTGGGGGGGGTGCCACTATCATGCACAATCGATTGATCATTGGTTTGTACTTCAAGGCTGTGTATCAGTAACATGCTCCGGAGATTCGCGGACCAAAGACACGTCTAGTGAATCACGAGAGGAATATCTCCAGTATATGTGATTCGACGCATGACGCATGCCTTCAGGGTTCCTTTGCGCAGGTGCGTGCCCTTTGCGACGCCTGCGGGCGTGGGGGCAACCTGAAACTCAAGCTCTTCTGGGACGAAACGTCTGGGGGTCGGTACTGCCGCCCGAGGGCCCAGACAGCAGTCGATGTGTGGCAGGGAGTGGTTGGGGTACAAGGAATTGTTACTCGTAGGTTGTTTCTCAGTTAATCTTAGAGTCTGAGTTGGATGCACTTCTGGAACGTTCTTGAACAGTGAGATGAGACATGAGACAGCCACACATCAGACATGTTGGTTCCCCGGAAGATGTGACGGAGGCTTTCTAGGAGCAAGGACGCTACTAGGGGCTCCTGGCATCGCTACTAGGAGCACGGACGCTACTAGGGGCTCCTGGCCTTACTGGCCTTACTACTAGTAACAAATAGCTACTAGGAGCAATTCCAAGCCGGGCACATATCGAGCCTGTTTCTGTCACAAGCTTCGCTCCGAGGTACCTGCTGGATCGACTGGTATGGTGATGAGCCTCCTCAATCACTTGTTTTGTCCTCAGATGTACCTGGAACTATCTGGAACATGAGATGAATAGCATACCAATCTCTAGCTATCTCTAACTATAGATGATGTTTTTTTTGTGTTTCCAAGGTTCTCGGGAGAGGATGTATAACTACCGGTTGGTCCTAGGTAGATGACATCTTCGGTTTGATCAAGGAATGTTTAAGCTTGTCACAGCAAGTCGTTGATGTCGTGACATCATGACCTCTGATTTGACCCCTGCAGCTCTCACGTGTGCACCACGCAAGACCGCACCCAGGCCGCCTGAGTTCCCGCGGCGCCCACCCGACCGGCGGGACCCGAGGGGATCCCCGTTGCGCCGGCAGCGAACAAATGCGGAACCACCACGGAGAGCCGATGGGGCGGTCAAAAGGCATCGGTGTTTTGGAGATTTCACATGATTTCACCATCCCTCAGAGAGTGTCAGTTTGTCACTTCACATGTTGCCCGGTTCAAAAGAGAACGTGTTTTGCGTTGGTTCCAGGGTTTGGCTAGCCTTTGGTGTCTTTGGGTGTTCGGAAAAGGATATTGTTATGCTGTAGATGTCGGTTCCGAGATCTTCAGTATTGCTCAGATGTTTCTGAGGGGGTGGCGAGAACAAATTTGAGACACTGTTTCTGTTTAGAATATGCAATGTTGCCTTCAAGACAAAACTCCCAAGTCCCCATTCACCACATACTCATACCAGAATTGAGTTTTCCAGCGCCAGAGGTTGCCCCGCTGAACACGAAGCATGCCCATTAGACCATGGAATCTAGATTGTCATCTCATCCCAAACTGTTGACGCCTTGACCAGCAGTTCTCTTGATCAAACTGGGTGAGTTCAACTCCAGTGAACTGGATGCCGGTGCTGACCCCACAGGTACATCGTTGCTTTTTCATTCTTTTTCTGTGTTGTTTCAGAAGTTTGGTAGCCGCAGGCCTCCCAAGCCTCCCTGTCGGGATTGCCGAAGATACTGCACCCACGGCTAAAGCACGCTTGTGGCAGGACAAGCCAAGACGACTGTCTTCGAGCCAGTTCATTTTCTAAGTTTTTGTGGAAATGCTGCTGGCTTCCCCACATGTACAGGCGCTTTGTACGATGTGTGCAAAAAGTTTGCAGGCGATTGCTAGTGCTTGTTTTGTTGTTCTTTGCCACTCCTGCACTTCCGGCGACCTGTCAGTTTGCCTCACCTGGTATTATGACAGATGATGTGCATCATGAATTTATATCACAATTCACCACCCCTTGCTGTGACAGAGTCGGGCTGAAGGTGTCAAACACCAAAGGTGCTTGCAACAACCTCTTTGGCTCAGTGGTCAAAGCCGTCCCACTGCACAACGCCCCAACAGACGACGAAAAAGACACGTCGCGGGTCAGGCCGGTTGGGACACAACGCCTCGCGTGGGTGGGCGTGTTGAGATGAAGAGAAAGGTGTTGAGAAAGGTGAGACTCGTGGCTTCACCTGAAGTATCTGGCGATGCATTTCTGGAGCTGGGGTAGTATGTTTCAGTGATCTTGGCCTCTTGAGCTGTTGACAGTTCGAGGACCCTGAAGGATCATGCAGTTCTTGCAACATCACTTCAAAGGTTGACCGAAATGTCCACTACATTCCACTACTATCCTTCTTTTCAGATCTATCAATCACATAAAATCTACATATGTAATGTTCTACATGTGTCATCGCCTTGTTTGTCAGGTTCCCGTGTTTGAACTCAGGAAATCAATCCTTGTCAGATGTATTTAATTAGATATCCACTGACTAAGATAATGGGATCATCTAATTTACTGAGATATCCACCAACTGTACCCGACTCCATGAATAAAGATTGGCCCGGGACATCGGCAGCTCGCTCGTGTTTAGCGGGCCGTTTCAGCCCTTTCAGCCGTTCTGCTGTGTCAGGCCATGGAGCCATGTTTTCGTGAGCTGAGCCAGGGCCTCTCAGCCTTTGCACCGACGGGAACGGGTTGGCTGTTTCACTGTGACGGGTGGCTGTCGCAACTGTCCGAGGAGTCCTTGTTACCCTTCTCGCTACTAGGGGCTCCTGGCATCGCTACTAGGAGCAAAGGACGCTAATTACTAGGGGCTCCTGGCCTTACTACTAGTAGCAAGAAGCTATTAGCAACAAGGGCATCGCTACTTCTCCCACCACCCAATCAGCCACCAAGCCAGTGTGACTCTAGCCACTGAAAAAGGACTATCAGCCTACCGAAAAAGTCGGCCTGTTTTATTGCATATAACATCATGCAACCACAGAATTCCTTTTTTTGGGAGGTGTAGAGGTGTCTTCTTTTCAGCGTAGAGAGGCTTTAGAACTTTTGGTAATCTAATAGTACGTTCTAACATAACATGTAACTGGTCACGGCTGCATGAGTTCATTTCGTGACTTCGTCACAGACTCCTTCCTCACCGGTGCCGAGGTGCGTGGCATTTGGCGGCAGACATCCTCAGCAGCTCGGAGGATTTAGCTGATCTTGGGCCAGGATGGAAAAAAAAAAGATCAGATTGGTGTATGTATAGGAGGTGAAATATATTATTATTATCATCAATATAAAAAGTTACGGCAACCAAAGCATCAACCAGTGATCGTCAATCAGAGTTGGCAGGTTGTTCAACTGGTTTTTGGTGCCAGTCAGTTGTTCGCTGAGATGATGCATCCTTAAAGTCCTTAAAGTCGGTTGCAGCAGGCCAGAAGATCAGTTTGGGGGGCGGGGCCACGTCAAGTGTTGTGGGTCCCTTATACTCTCAGTGCCTAGGGCATTCCTTGCTCTTTATTCTAACTGCCAAAGTAGTTGCAGATCATTAAGTCTCCGTTCTCACCTGATCCCAACGCTTGTTCGAGG